AATGTTGCTTACTATTTTACTTCTATGTACTGTTGTGTCTATTGTCTGTATACCCCACCCCCCTTATTCTATGTAAGCCGCCCTGAGTCCCCTCAGGGAAAAGGGCGGCCTATAAGCATTAATAAATACCAAATACCAAATACATATTCCAGTCTGCCCAATAACCCAGATATTATTGAATTCCCTCTGGAAAAATACTGGCATCCTTAAAATTTATCTCCCTACTCTTGCATTAAGGTGGCACAGTGGTTAGAGTGCAGTACTGCAAGGTACTTCTGCTGACTGCCAGCTGCATGCAATTTGGCAGGTCAAATCTCATCAGGCTCAAGGTTGACTCAGCCTTCCATCCTTCCGAGGTGGGTAAAATGAGGAGCCAGATTGTTGGGGGCAATAGGCAGACTCTGTAAAGCACTGTAAAGTGGTATATAAGTCTAAGTGCTATTGCTATTGCTAAGCTCTAATACTGCATGCTAATGTTTAGCAATATTTCTCAGTTGTATATTCAGCCCTTATCCAGTGACCACAACTGAACTGGCAATTCAGTCATTAAACGAAGTGGTCACTAATTGAAACCGCACTGTGCTTGGGATCCGGCTTCAGCATTATTTGGCTTTACAGGCCTGTGAAGATTATAAATGCCAGTCTTGGTTGCAAGATTACTTTTGCGCCACAGTTATAACTGTGAAGATTTGCTAAATGAGGCAGTTCCTAACCGAGGACTACCTGCATTTTCTCATGACTGTTTTCAAAGCATTCAGACAATGGTCTAACAACTGAGAGGGATAGCAGGCAGTCTTATCCACTGGGTATGGTTAAAAAAAACCAGCATGCTAGTGAGGATGGTGCGGCTGAAGCTTTTTCTATTTTTAAGGCATCACACATAAAAAAAGAGATGCGAAGCATGAATTTTTGATCACCCCATCACAGCGTCCCTCTTGGCTTTTTGACTATTGCCTGTGGACATTCTTGGTAGTTGACTGAAATTCACAGAGAGAATTTAAAGAATGTTGATCTATTCTTAACACTTTCCTAATTTTACTGGTTGTCCTCGACTTAATGATCCTAGTGGAGCTGCCCATCATTGTTGTAAAGTGATTCGTTGTGGGACTGACCTGATTTTATGATCTTTCTGCAATGATCGTTAAGCGAATGAATTGTTTGCTATGGGGCAGTTTTGTGACGTGTGATCATGTGTCCACGCACTGGAAACGGCTGTAAATGCAGGCTGCTTGGCAAGTACCCATCATGTACTCACATGATTATGGAGATGTGTGTGGCCATTGGAAGTTCAGGACCAGATCATAAGTGCCCATTGGGAGGTCCATTTTAACTTCAAGTAACTAATCAATTGGTTGTAACTTGAGGAGTACCTATTTATCATCTCCCAAAGATACCAATTATGCCTTTCAATCTATATCTTTTCTGGATACCTGCGATATTTTATGAAGGATTACTAATATACCTAATTATCTGATAGTAGATTGTAAAAGGTGATTGCAACTCCAGCAGCTTACAACCCCTCCTGAGTTTAGTTCAGATATATGGTACTTATTGGTTAAAGAGATTCTGAGTACTTTAGCAATAGCACTTAGACTTATATATCACTTCACAGTGCTTTACAACCCTTTCTAAGCAGTTTACAGAGTCAACATATTGCCCCCAACAATCTGGGTCCTCATTTTACCCACCTTGGAAGGATGGAAGGCTGAATCAACCTTGAGCCTGGTGAGGTTCAAACTGCCAAATTTGGCAGCCGGCAGTCAGCAGAATTAGCCTGCAGTACTGCATTCTAGCCACTTTGCCACGCCTTTCATGCCACTGCACATTTTATTACAACTTATTTAAAAGATTGGGTTTAAGATGTATTTGTTTAAATTGAAATTTTACCTTATCTCCCCTGCTCCACAAAACCTTTGGTGGAGGCTCCCCAGAAACAGGGATCTCAAGACGTAATTTTGTTCCTGCGACAACTGTTACTGTGTTATCATCACCAAGGCCATCAAGGTGAAGCTTAGGAGGATCTGCAAAACCAAGGCACTTAGGAAAACATCTCAAAATTTGAATGTGTGATAGAAGAGACCTTTCCATCTCAGACTGGAGAAATATCTTCATGCATAGAAAGCCAAAGTTAATGTAATATGCTGAAGAAGAGTTTTCGGAGTCAAACTAAATGCCCCTAAACTTCCTAGAAAAGGATAGCGTTAACTCAACTATATAGCATCAAATTTAGCAGTCACCCTCTGCCCAAAACCACTTTCCCAGGGAACCTGAATTGTCAACTCAGCCAAAAAACATTTAGAAGGTGAGCAATGATGACAGTCTCTGGGATATGTTACCAGAGAGCAAACATAGATGCTGAGAAGTAGGAACATTAACCCCTCAAAAAAGAAACTATGTACATGAATTACGGCTTTTTTGGTCTTTCAATACCCATTGTCTTTTACAGTTCTTCTCTCTTATCTCATAGTTACACCCTAATCCTAACATTGATTTACAGATTAACAGAGTTTAAAGGGACCTTGCAGGTTATCTAGTCCAATCCCCTGCTCAAACAGGAGACCCTACTTAGAATCGAACGCACAACCTCCTGATTGTGAGGCTAGAGCTCCACCTCTAGGCCACTTAACCCCTTCATTAGATCATGTATCATTAGATACATGATGTGCTACAGCCACATCTCACTGCTATTTCTAGTCATGTGTACACCCTGATTTGCATATAATCCTACACCTTTTTGTGTTTATCTCCAGCACTGCCAATAAGCTAATTTATGCTTCGACATACAATAATTGTGTCCTAGTCTCCGGTTCAAACACACCTCTGGAAAAACATACCTCATACAATATAGAGGATAGCAGAGAAATAATTTCTACATTTTAAAACATTTAACATATTTCTTATTATTTTTAAATAATACTTATTAGCAAACTGATTTGTTCAGATGCAATAATAAAAAAGCATCAATATTTTTAGTTCTTTAGTGTGCTATAATCAGGACTCCCATTCTATTCCATTCCATTCATTTTCTACTCCATTCCACTTTACTTCACTCCACTCCATTCCATTCATTTTCTATTCTATTCCATTCCACTCCACTCTACTCTACTCTACCCCACCCCATCCCATCCCATCCTATTCATTTTCTATCCATTCCACTCCATTTCACTCTACTCCACTGCACCCTCATCTCCACTCTCCATTCTTCACTCCACTCTACCCCACCACGTTCCATTCCAGCTGGCCAGTGCACATGCTCATGATGGAACCCGAAAGAGCAGCTGATGATGGCATGTGTGCCCACAGAGAGGGCTCTGCCATCATGGTACTAGGCCATTTCTTACAATATTTAAAACACTATATTACTGCAGAAATGGCCAACACAATCACTGAAAATTATGTAGAATTCTAGATTTCCATAAGGTTGAAATGCAGGAAACAGACTAGAAACTCTGACTACTGCCTGGAAATTTTGAAGTTGCAGTCCTAACACGGCAAGAGAGTTCCATGGTCAGTTGGCTTTAAGAACATTCGACAATCAGTCCATTTTAGAAACATGACATCACTTCTGTCCACTTATTATATAAATACATGACAATCAAAAAAGAGAGAAACATAGGAGTTACCTATAATATGAACTTTACAAGGGATGTTGACATTGTAGGCATCTGGAACAAACATGTATTCACCGTCATCCTCCACAAGTGAGTTAGCAATAATTAACCGATGGATTCTATAAAAAAAGTCAAGATAGGAAACCAAAATAAATATTCTTATTCCTGCATGGCCAGATACCTACATGGGGCAGAGGGCCCCACCCTGGAGAAACTTGGTGAGGGTAAGTGCAAAAGCACTTTCCAGCTAAACTGGAAAGATCCACTGAGTTTGGTTGTTAATCTAGAACATAATGGAGGCGACTGTGTTGCACTAGCATTTACACAATTGTCTTTCTTCTATTACACCTTCACACAAGCCTGTTATTAATTTGTGTAGAACCTGCAATAGGATTTATTGTTGTGAAAAGGTAAGGCATATGAAAAGCTCAGCTTTTCAAAAGCATTTTTAACTTTGGTAAATTCAGCATAATAGGCATTTATTTTCTGTGCACATTGCAATACATTTGAGGCAAGCCTCAAATGAAAATGAAAAAAAAGAGCTTGAAATGTATACTGCTAGTTCTCAACTTACAACAGTTCATTTAGTGACTGTTCAAAGTTACAAGGGAACTAAAAGATGTGACCTATGAACCAAAGGTGCTTTTTCAAGAAGCAACTGGATTTTCTGTTTTTTCTTTGAAGACTTCTTGGATGAAAAGCTAAATTTTCAAGAGTTGCCTCTTGAAAAAGCACTTTTGTAACAACCATGACCTGGATGACTGAGAATCTCCATAGACATTTAGCTGTGACTTAGGAATGTTTTCACAGTTATAATCTGCCAGAGTTTGTTGCATAAATTCAAGTCTAGAAAGCACACACACAAATAACTGATTCAGCTGGATTCATTAACTTCTTTATATACATAGATGAATAAATGTACAATACCAACAGGTGGTTCTTCCAAGTAAACACAAGGCAGGAGAGTTACAGGCACTTTTGTATGTTGTTTTATCAATATATGCACTTTTGTACAGTACTTTCTTACCTTGGATTGTTTTTAATGAAGAAGATGGTGATTAAAATAGTTTTAAATTATGGTTGAGCTAATCTCAAAATCTGGACAACTGTAAGGAAGTTAATTCATGTATTGGTCCAACACTCAATTAAAATATGAACTAAATGAATTTCTTTCCCATCTTTAGCTCCAGTGCATTTATTTTATGAAAGCTGCAGTAATAATGATAAATAGATAAAAGGGCCAATTTACATGGGAATTTGTACTATTAAACTCACTGAACTTTATTTCTAATTAAATATATCTAGGACAATGTTATTAAACTCTTCACCACCATCCTTTTACTGAAAAATATTATATAGTTCCTTCTTGAACACAAGATTCAATTTTCAAATAAAGTTTCTATGCAGATTTTTGTAATACCTCCTTATTTTTTTAAAATAGGTAGTCCTGTATACAGAATAGAATCTTCTGATTTTCTCTCAGCTGTTTTGGATATTGTTCAACATGTTCTGGTACTGATTATTCTGAAATGGTTCCAGGCATACTTCAGCCCAACACAGTTCCCTAGATGTGCAGAACATCCATCCAGAAAACAAGGGACTCTTCCGAGAATGACCAGGTTGGCACATAGTAGGTGAAAGCCAGAATATCATGGTCATTCAAGAACATTTTGTTACTGGAACACAGATTTTTGCACACAAGTAGATTATTGCCAACTTTATCTGAAGTATACATGGAATGATTTGGAAGAATAACCGTTAGACCAAAATGAGTTTTTTCTTAAACCCTGGTTCAATTTCACAAGTATCTTTGAGAAAATCCATTGCTCTTACTATCATTATTTTTCCTGGTCTAAGTTACAAGCTTACCTTCCTTTGTGATATAATTTGATGCGATCACTGGGCGGGAGCAGCGTGCCATTTTTGTACCACTTTCCTTCTACATTCTCAGAAATCTCACACTTCAAAGAGATCTCTTTGCCGAGCCTGACGGTCTGATCTTCCAGTGGATGCAATATCTTCAGTGGCCTCACTTAAGAAATAAGGAATGAAAGACCACTAGTTTTGTTTTATTACGGGATATTTATTCAGTGACACCAGACTAGATCATGTACTCACATGCCTAGACTATGGACTTGGTGTGTCTGTGTGATGCCCTGCTGGCCACCTCATTTTGAACCTTGTAAATGTGCACAAAAAGGAGTGCATGTGCAATGGACTCTTGCATAGATTTGGAAATTCTAATATTTATAGATCAAATTTTGAAATCATCCATCTTTCTCACAGAGGAGTAGTGTACAAATAAAACTTTAGAACACACACACACACAAACCTCTCTGTGTGTATATATGTTCCAGCATAACTCTGGCACGCCTTGAGCAATTTCAACCAAACTTGGTACACTGTCTGGAAACAAATAATGTGGGAGTAAGACACCCCAACACCTCTCGGTGTGTGTCTGTCCATGTGTGTGTGTGTTCTAACATAACTCCGGAACGCCTGGGCCACTGAAATGAAAAGGAATGAATTATCTCTATAGTGTCAAGTCACAGTACTTTTGACAGTGATACTGTGCATTTTGGATTCAAGTTCTGTTAAGATACAGCCAGTTGTGCCTTAAAATGGCTTCTACTGTACAGCACAATGGAGTTGCCATAGTAACAGCTTCGCAGTATTCTACAAGGGGGGGTTCCTCTAATACAAGATTGGGCTAAATAGCAATAGCAATAGCAGTAGACTTATATACCGCTTCATAGGGCTTTCAGCCCTCTCTAAGCGGTTTACAGAGAGTCAGCATATTGCCCCCAACAATCCGGGTCCTCATTTTACCCACCTCGGAAGGATGGAAGGCTGAGTCAACCCTGAGCCGGTGAGATTTGAACCGCTGAACTGCTGATCTAGCAGTAGCCTGCAGTGCTGCATTTAACCACTGCGCCACCTTGGCTCATACATACCCGGGGTACGCTGGGTTATCAGCTAGTGGTATATAAACTTTAAAAACAGGCAATCATAATTAAAAGTTAATTAAAAGGCAGAGGAAGGACTTTCAGGGTGCTAACCTGCCTCATGGCTGCGTTCCTTAGACAGGGCTGCAACACTTTTCCAAATGGCCAGGAGGTTTGGGGCCCATCTCACTTAGGGGAGGGAGAATGAGGAAGAGAGCAATGGCAGAGAAAGCTCTCTTCCCGGACCTTGCCAGCCAGAATTCTTTAGCTAATATGCATCTACAACTTACCAACTTTTTAATAGGTTGATATCAGGGATGGGTTCCTGCCGGCATTACTACTGGTTTGGCGCCCGGAAAAATTTGTAGACAGGCCATCACATTTTGGATCACCGAAAGGCACCAACTTAACTTCAAAGCAGTCAAAGCCTATCCATGAGGTGATAAGGACATGCTAATAGTGTGTGTTTGTGTGTGTGTTTGTGTGTGTGTGTGTAATGGATTCCTGCTAATAAATTAGAAATACAGTGTTCACTCACAACCAACGCTGAGCTTGGCAGCTGATTGTCCTCCAGTTGTCATGACTGAGTAAGTTGCCTTGTCTGCTTTCGTTGCTTCTTCAATAATCAAAGTGTGCTTTTTACCCTCGATTTTAACTTTATATCTTGATTTACTATCAAGGGGCAACTCCACACCATTCTTAAACCTGAGGAACAATAACAGCCCAAAATGGTATAATTAACTTGAAAGTACTTTTACTTTAAAAAGGCATCCAAATCTTCATTTGATTGTAAAAAAAAGCCATCTTTTAAATGAAACGAAACAAAAAAAAAGAAAGAAAGAAAGAAAAGAAAAGCATGGTATATGAGATAAATGAAGGAGGGATAGGGGAAAATCTTGATCAGGTAGGATCAAGTTGCAGAGTTTAGCTTAGTTTGGTTTTTTAACAACAAGCACACCAGCATCTGTGATGGTGATACAATAACTTATATACTGCTTCACAGTACTTTTACAGCCCTCTCTAAGCAGTTTACAGAGTCAGCATATTGCCCCCAACAATCTGGGTCCTCATTTTACCGACCTTGGAAGGATAGAAGGCTGAGTCAACCTTGACCCTGGTGAGATTCGATCTGTCAAACTGCTGTCACCTGGTGATTAGCAGAAGTAGCCTGTAGTACTGCACTCTAACCACTGCGCCACTGCGGCTCAAAGAAAATGATCAAAGTGATCAAAGAAAAACAAGCTTGTAACTGGATGCATATACAAAGATTCATGGTTTTTACCTATTTTGCACCATCTTGCTTTTTATTTATTTATCAGAAACCAGAGAATAAGTGTGACATTTATCTTTGGTTTTCACTTTCAGAAAAATCATAGTTCTATATAGTTAGATGGGTTATTTTGGTCATAAGACCCAATCTATCTAGTGCAAGGGTTCTACCATCATTTCCACACCGTTATTACATTTCACCATAACCAAGTTTTATGCTGTAGCTGAATAAAACAAATTGGCAATCAGAAGGGATCTCATATATTCCAGGAGAGTCCTGGTGGTTCAGTGGTTAGAATGTAGTATTTAGACAAACTCTGCCCACATCCTGGAGTTTGATCCTGACAGAGTTTAAGGTTGACTCATCCTTCCATCCTTCCAAGGTTGGCAAAATAAAGATCCAGATCGTTGAGGGCAGTATGCAAATAACGCTTGCATTGTAAGCCACTTAGAGTGTGCTGTAAAGTGTTACAGGGTGATATTTAAACCTAAATACCATTGTTATTGCTATCCATCTATTTGTAATCCAGCTGCCTAGATTACTAATAATATATGTGCAAATTGAAGCCTTCATTTGGTGTGAACCATGGAAGTTCCGTCATCATAATTCCTGGGAAATATTCTACATAGAAACATACAAATGCCTTATTGTTGCATAATTCCGTGTGCACTTTGGCTCTCTTTTAGTTTAGAAAAAAGTGATGAAAAAGGGAGTTTCAGGAGAGTTTCCATTTGTCTTCATTCTGTACTGTATGCTTTTGTAAAAGGTTATCAAGGCCTGTATTGTTTGTCATCTTTAGTGACTTCCGTTTAGCAAGTCTTAAAAAAACCTTTCTATTTTTAAATAAATGTGTTTGGTTCATAAGGATCAATTCAGCTAAAGAGTCATAATCAAACTCAGGTAAAAATGGGAGTGAAATTAGGTGTGACTGTCTTGATTAGTTACTACTGGCCTTAGTGAATTCAGGTTTAAAATATTTATGAAAAAAAGTGGTAAATGACCTACCATTTCACGTTTGCATCCTCTTCAGACACTTCAACTGATAATTCTATTCTGTCGCCAATATAACCACTGGTATCTTCCAGGTTTTTTGTCACTATTACTGGAGGCTCTGAAGGAAGAAAAAGAAAACATATCATAAACAAAAGATCACAAAGAAAGGTGTGTGTGTGAAGTTCCCTGAAGATGGGCTCCAGCATGAGTCTGAAACTTGGAAAGCAAAACCTCTAGTCCGGTAACCAAACCAGATGGGATTCTGCAACATTATCCTCGGACAAGCCATCTCTGATGCTAGGTGATTTCTCATGCTATAGCTTCCTTTGAATTAGAGACCAAGTTTCTACATACCAGAGTTGGGTTGTTCCTGGTTTGTCCTAGTTTGACTGAACTGGTAGTGGTGATTTGGCCTGGGTTGCAGAACAGGCAGTGACCCAGACTGGCTATGCCCCAGAACTGGTTCCCCAGTCTCTTCTCCCATTGCCGGCATGTTGCTGCGCATGCGCAGAACAATTTACAGTCAACCGTGCACGTGCGAGCAATGCACAGCGCATGTGTGCGTGAAGTGAACTGGTACCAACCGGTACAGGAACTCAGCCCTGCTATATACCATTTGGAAAAATGAAGTTCTCAGGGATTTCAGAGGCTGGTCAGGTATTAAATTTTAGCAAAATTTGGATCCATTTTGCATTGGATTCCAAGATCTCTCCCCCACCCACCCATTCAACCAACAATAACCAACAAGAACTCTGCAGAGATATATTGATATTATTGAAATTTCCCCATTTGTCTGCAAAATGAAGACAATTGTCTGTTAAATGGGGATAAACTTCAGTTTAAATTATCTATGTTTAATCTGAAATCTAATGTATTGTCATTTATTGAATTGAGGTTTGACTCTATTACGGAAATGGACCGAAGCTTTGAACTAACAATTATGATTCATTACTGTACCTCTAACGAACAATTCAGTAGAACATTTCTCATCTCCAGCTGTGACATGATAACGGGCATCATCTGTCATCTGGCAGTTGTTGATAAATAGGATTCGCTCATTACCTTTGTGTTCAAATATGTATCTATGGGGAAATGGCAGATTAAGAAAGTTGGAATTATTAGAAGATGTAATTATTCTTCAACCTTCAGATCCTAAGTGGGTACTTCACTGTAAAGTGATTGATGCAACAGGAGGTATTCAAAAACACTTATCTAATTAGGTCACTGTGTCTGGCATGCAAGTTCCTTTTTTAAACTGTAGATAGATAGGCTGTGTGAAGTTAGGGATCATAGTAGCAATTTGGAGGTGGATATATTTAGCCCTTTCCTTCTTGCTGTAGTCTTGATAACAATGAGAGATTTTCCTCCAAAGAAAAATGATTCCCTTGTCTCTTCTCCGGCGGATATTTTTTGTACCCAATTCCTCCACTTCCACTTGTCCAGTGCTTTTGGGTCCAAGACTGATGCAAGGACAGATCTAACATTTGGCCTTAAAATTTCATGGGGAAACATGCAGTGCAAACTTCAAGAGTTCTGAACACAACAGTGGTTGAAACCTTAGCTCGGGGAAGATGGAAATAACCGTAACAGGAGCCTAGTTCCATTGCTGCACTCTTGACATATTTCCAAAAGTACAATAATAGCTGGGGCAAAGCAGCCAACATTTCTGGTAGGCCATATGGCTCAAGGGGTATGTAATGGGATATGGTGCCTTTCACCTTAAGGTCATTGGTTCACATTTGTTTCAGGTCAATAATGACCAAAGCTTATTGCCATCCTGCAGCTGTTCAATAGTCTGGACTTGATGTATTCAGGCCAGTTAGTTCTTAAGAGAAGTTCTTGGAGAAGAAAGCATTGAAAGAGACACAGACTGTATTTTGGAAGTCGAAATTATTTCACACTTGGCTCAGAAAGTTAACTTAAAAGACCCAGTGGAAGGCTATATTGCACCTTATGCCACCTTTAATCCAATATTAAACACTGAACTAAAGGGGTTCTAGTCACTCAAACTAATTTCTCAGAGGTCCTGTTAACTAACTCATCTTACTTCCTTGCTCCTTCTAGATTTCTTTGCTAATGAACCGTGATGGAGAAAGCTTCCACAAAAACAAGGAACTACTGCAGTAATCTTCACTGAATTTTTAAAGGCAGAGCTAAACATATTGGTTTAGCGGAATTCACCCCGCCTCAATACTTATGCTGAAAACTACCAACATACCACAGAATATGGTGCAAATGTTACAGTTCTCTAAAAACATTTGTCATGGAGAGGGAAGAATACAACATGTAGATTTAATCTCAAGATGAATGAGGCTTCACATGTTTGTGGGGCCCAGTTTCTGGCATATCAGAAACCGTGCCATATCGTGGACTGGTGCCAGTCCACAGACTGGGGGTTGGGGACCTCTGGTATATTGGAAAAGGTGAAAACTATGAGTAAGGAGACACAAGGTGACTAGGAGTAAAGGGGACCCTTAAGAATGGAAGTCAGCTGAGTAACTTTGGACCAGTCACTCTCTCCAATTCTTAGTCTGGGAAGTTGACAAAACATGCCAAAAGCAGACAACGGCAAACCACTTCCATGATATTGCAAAACAAAAAACCAACACACAATGGACCTGTCCAGACAATCACCAAGAGTCAAAACTGATTCTAAACCAAACCAAACAGATGAATAAAACTTAAAACTGCATAGCAAATAAATAAAGCCATGGTGGCTTGTCCCTAGGCCCATATACTCCTGAATATCTTTTCACTAATGCCTAACATGCAACCATGATTACATCACCAATAGAATAGGAATAAGAAATATTCTTTATACTTAAGTCAATGCAAATACTTACTTTCCACTTGGCCGTATTTCTTGGCCATTTTTATACCACTTCAGTTCAACTGTTGGATCAGCCAGCTCCACCGCAAACCTTACTTTACCTCCTTTGTCCACTTGATAAGCAGGGTCCAGAATCTTAGAAAAGGCTGTTGAGTGAAAAAAGAGAATGGACACTGGCAGTAAAAAACAATGCCAATCGAAGTGAAATATTCTAGCTGACTTAAAAAATTTTTTTTATTATTATAGTAGGGTTTCCCGATCTGAACTGCAAATCTGAAGGTGAATATTACATGATAGCAAAGAGAAGCAAACAACCTCACTAATATCTTGTTCTCATCTGTATTTTTGCAGCCAGTACATGCAGAGTAGAAATACAGATGAGATAAAAATGAACTTTATCTATACTCTAGATAAATATGAACTTCTTCATGAATTAACATTTTCTCCCCAAAACTCAATTTGGACAGGGACAGGAAAGGAAGAATCCTGATTTCCCCAAGTTATTGTAATTGTGTATTTTGGCATTTCAGTGCCTCTTTCTACATAATCAGAACCATTTCAAACATGTGGAGCTCTGGAGATCCAGTCTTAACTGCATTGTGTGTAGTGTGAAATGGTTTGAAAATAAAGAGAAAGAGCCAGAAGGCAGATTTGGGAAGCATACTAAGATAATGGTATAGACCTGGCCTGTACTTCCCTTTTATTCTTTCATATTCAGAGAAATATGTGAAGGAGAAACTGTTGAGTTGTCATTGATAATGGAGCTGGATACTTAAACTGATAATGTACATCAGGGATGTCAAACTCAATTTCATTGAGGGCCGCATCAGGGTTGTGTTTGACCTCGGGAGGGGGGCAATGCGATCAGGGGGGCATGGCCAGCTCAACATCACTCACGTCAGGTGCACCTGTGGAGGCCCAAGTGCTCTGCCAGCAAAAATGGAGCTCGGGAGGACCACAGAGGCACCACGGGCCAGTCCTTCAGTCAAGATTCCAAATAGCATCCAAAATTAAATCAGAGTCTGAGGCAAAGGATTCCTCAAAGTTCCAATTTATTAAGAGAGCCATGTTGGCACATCTGAAAAATCCCGAATCTGAAAGCTTCCTGGTTTTCCCCACCCAGTTGAAAGTTCAACCCCACACCCACAAGCCCATCACATGATCCAATCTTCCACTGCCATGCTGGCAGTTCAACCCATCCAGTTCCGATCAGATGCAGAGACAAAGGATGACCTTGGCTTTATAGAAGGAATTTTGTTTTGGCTACATAGCATCTAACTCCGTACAATCCCCCCTCCCATTTTCCCACACTAGAAAAGGCATAATAGGATAATAGAATACCCCTCAGGTCAAAGATCCAAGAGGAATATGGCTGCAGGCCTGACACCTTCTCTATTTCCAGGGCAGCCCCACGGGTCAGATCTAAGCACCTCATGGGCTGGATCAGGCCCTCAAGCCTTGAGTTTATCTTGATGTACATGACGACCAATTTTGTTTTATTCAGTAAAAAGAAATTGAGTTGCTTAATTAAAACCAATTCTTTTCTGAACTTTTTAAAAGAAGATTTTTTTGTGGGGAGAAGAGAATTCCTGGGGGAAGAAAGGTACAACTTTCCCAAGCAATTAATACCTGCACTCTTCTTCTCTTCCCTCCGAGTGCGCTTCAGACGTTTCAGCATACCCCTCAGGTCAGTAATTCCATACTGAAATGCAATCTTCTCATAGTCATTGGGATTTGCATTCTTCAAGAGTTCCCACACATCTATATCTGGCTCTTCTGGTTCCTGTTTAAATTCCCTAATCAGGAACAAAGATTTAAACAAAAACAAAAGAAAGAAGAAAAGGGATGTGGCCCAGATTAATGAGATCTCATACATTATGAACGTGGCAACTGGAAATCAAATCCAAGGAAGACTAAAGACTGAAATGCTTTAGCTAGGCTTAGTTAGGCTTAGGAATGGGTTTGAGCTAAAATGTTCGGTTATATAGTTAAAGATCTTAATAGCAGAAAGGAAGAGAATAGCAGGATACACACTTACCCCATGTCTTCAGTGGGCAGTATATTACAGATCTTGGATTAGCCCTTTGAATGGAAACCTATGCATTTTCAGAAGAATGAAACTAGAAGTCTGTGTTGTGCATTGTCTCAAAACTGTGAGATATACTAGAAATAGGAAATGTCAAAGGGTCTGGGATGAACCACAAATGGATTAGTTGGGTCAGGAATTAAGTGTAGAAAACATCTATTAATATTTTAGTCTGAAACTTAATGAGATGTCATTTACTGACATACAAAAAGCATGTTAGTTAATGATGCCCTTCATTCTAAGGATATCACTATCATGATTAGATTGCTATACCCTGCCATATTAAGATTTTTGCAAGGATGGACTGGTGAACTCAACATGGAAGGCAGACACGTTCAGAAGAATTTGGTCTACTAGCTATAGTTTTTGAGTATTATCACAAGTGTAATACTGAAGTTCAAGATTATTTTTACCACGGAACTTTACTGAAATTAAACTGGAGTAAAAAATAAAAAGTGGCCAGTCAAATTTGCTTTGAAATTAGTCTTCTATAACCTGATTTTTTTTCCCCAGAAGTTTTTCTGGGTCTTCCAGAATTCCCTATTGTCATGGAGATCAAAGTCCAACACATCTGGATTACACCAGGTTAACAAAAGATGGATTTTATACTCTTCTTAATTTTTAGTGTGGTGTGATCCTGATGTAATTGAAGAAAACTGTTTCTTAAATAAACTATTCTCAGGTACAATACTTAGAAAAATTAACTTTCACAACTTTCATGATAAGAAAGTGTTATCCAGCCTCTTCATTTAATTAAAGATGATGATTTTATCAGGATTTGTTCATTAGTTCAACAAAGAACATCTTGGTGAGACCACAATTTTATTTCATAGATGAAAAGACTGGTTGGGTATATAATAGAGCAGATCTTTCATTTGTTTTAGACAAATTTCTAACAAGTGATGCAGTTTTTTTCTCTCTTCCGGAAAATACTTTGTTAATCATAGTCTGATTTTTTTAAAAAAAACAACAACAAATCATTAAAATATGTGTAAAACTATTTTAGTCGTTTAGATTAAAAACAAACAAACCTCAAATCAGTAAAGTCCTGTCATTAACTACTACTGATACATTCCTTACAACTAAATTTCTAAACCTACTTAGCTTCTAATATCTATTTTTTTCTCCAGAGAGTGATATACAGTATTTTTCACACTATAAGACACACCTGACCATAAGACACACCTACGTTTAGAGGAGGAAAACAAGAAAAAATATGAATGTGGAGCGCCATCTCACTGTGAATATGGAGCAGCAGTGTGGTGAGGGCAGGAGGCGGAGCCTGAGAGGGCCACAGATAGGTGTCCTCTCATGTGCCAGCTCTGCCTATTGACTCCTGCACTGTGGAAAAAAGACTGACGAGGTGGGCAATGACAAAGATAGAAGTGGTGGGGTTCAGCACTGTAAAAGGACCCCACTGCCGCGACCCATATTTTTTGCTCCATAAGATGAACAGAAATTTCCACCCACTTTTTGTGTGGGGAGTGTGTCTTATGGTATATACTTAGATACATAACTGGCTGCCCTTGAAATTTAGTTGATTACATCACCACTGATAGTTTAATCTAGAATTTAACCGCTATCTGATGCAAGGCAAAGGCTCAGATTTCATAAATGCAATTATGCATTTGTCTAATGAACAAGTTATGGATTGTTGATTACATACAATGTAATCTGACATCATGACAGGTCCGAAAGATCAGGTCCACATGTTAAGATCTAGTTAAGCCAGGGTTGTCAAACTCATGGCCCGCAGGTCACATGGTGGCCATGTCCATGTCTGGTTTAGCAAAGGGGGAAAAGGTCATGATACATCATGTGATGATGCCATGACGACATTAGTTTGACACCCCTGAGTTAAGCTGATTGGTTGTTACTCATGCCTATGCACAGGAATGTTCTCAACTAATGGTTAGCACCCGCTAGGCATTAGATATGGAACAACTGAATTCAACGGAGATTGGACTTAGTTCGCTTGTGGCTATGTAGGGATTCTACTCCCAGTTTCTGCCACTCCTTCTCCTACATAATCCATAAATAGATAGTCCTCAAGTTATGTTTAGCATAAATTTGAAAAAAGCGACTTATGACGAGGTTTCGCACTTACAACTATTATAGCATTTCCATTATCACATGATCCAAATTCAGGTGTTAGGAAAACAGCAGCACTGGAGTCATGCAATCAATAGTCAATAGTGGAACCTGGATTCAATTAAAAACCATGTGATTTGTGAATAATTGAGTGATTTGCTTAAGAACCATGACAAAAAAGGTTGTAAAATTGGATGCAATTCACTTAACAATGGACTTGCTTAACAATGGCAATTCTGGTTCCAATTTTGGTTACAAGTTGAGAATTACCTGTAACCTGGTTTCTGTTCTATTGAAATCAGCAGCACTGAATTTTAAATTTTAAATTGACCCTGATATTCCACCTCTACTGGCTTAAAATATGCAGAATGTATTAAGTGAACATTCAGAATTTTTAAACCTCTAAAAATAGCGTTTTAGAAGCCCGGTAAAATAAGTTAGGAAAATTACGCGTATCTTTGGCATAAAACACTGAAGGCATAAATTGAAGAGAAGGTTGCAAGTAGGGTATTGACTGATAAATCAATTAAAAAAAATCAGACCATGTTTAACAAAAATATTTTAGGAAGTGAGAATAACTGCATCATTTGTTGGAGATCTGTTTAAAAAAATAATTAGGTTAATTAAGCAAAATTCAGTTATGCTTACACAGGAAGTAGATGCCTATTTCAATGCTCTTCTTGATTGTCAGTATCCTATCCTTGGTGATGGAAGTTTCATTTTTAATATTTAAGTGAAGTCCTCAGACTCACTTCAAAGAATGACTACTCTAACAACATCACAATACATTTCTCTACATCAATACAGAGACATTTATATTCGTATGCAACAAAATTAATATTATCCAAAGTCATCATTTCACACTATCACAAACTCTAATGTTCTCCATGCATCTTAGTAGAAAACTACAAAAGTAAAGCCAAGCATGTGAAATATATAAATGGGAAGAGAAAGAAAGAATGAAGACCTGGCAGGAATAAATGAAAAAAAGGTTGGTTTAACTTTTTAAGTAATTTATTGGAGAACAGTATCTGCTGTAATTTGGAATCATATGCTGCCTATTCCACACGTGTGTTTTTATTTAATTTTATTTAACAGGCAGTGTTGGGACCAGTTTAGGTATTCATGAAATTGTTGATTTACAGCAGTTTGTTTAGTGACCATTCAAAGTTACAACGGCACTGAAAAAAGTGACTTATGACCATTTTTCACACTTACGACCATTGCATCATCCCTGTGGTCATGTGATCACAATTCAGACGTTTGGCAACTGGCTCATATTTATGATGGTTGCAGTATCCCTGGGTCATGTGATCACCTTTTGCGACTTTCTGACAAGGAAAGTCAATGGGGAAACTGGACTCACTTAACAACTGTGTTACTAACTTAACAACTTCAGTGATTCCCTTGACAACTGTGGCAAGGGAGATCGTAAAATGGAGGAAAGCTCACTTAACAATTGCCTCATTTAGCAGNCTGTGATGGTGATACAATAACTTATATACTGCTTCACAGTACTTTTACAGCCCTCTCTAAGCAGTTTACAGAGTCAGCATATTGCCCCCAACAATCTGGGTCCTCATTTTACCGACCTTGGAAGGATAGAAGGCTGAGTCAACCTTGACCCTGGTGAGATTCGATCTGTCAAACTGCTGTCACCTGGTGATTAGCAGAAGTAGCCTGTAGTACTGCACTCTAACCACTGCGCCACTGCGGCTCAAAGAAAATGATCAAAGTGATCAAAGAAAAACAAGCTTGTAACTGGATGCATATACAAAGATTCATGGTTTTTACCTATTTTGCACCATCTTGCTTTTTATTTATTTATCAGAAACCAGAGAATAAGTGTGACATTTATCTTTGGTTTTCACTTTCAGAAAAATCATAGTTCTATATAGTTAGATGGGTTATTTTGGTCATAAGACCCAATCTATCTAGTGCAAGGGTTCTACCATCATTTCCACACCGTTATTACATTTCACCATAACCAAGTTTTATGCTGTAGCTGAATAAAACAAATTGGCAATCAGAAGGGATCTCATATATTCCAGGAGAGTCCTGGTGGTTCAGTGGTTAGAATGTAGTATTTAGACAAACTCTGCCCACATCCTGGAGTTTGATCCTGACAGAGTTTAAGGTTGACTCATCCTTCCATCCTTCCAAGGTTGGCAAAATAAAGATCCAGATCGTTGAGGGCAGTATGCAAATAACGCTTGCATTGTAAGCCACTTAGAGTGTGCTGTAAAGTGTTACAGGGTGATATTTAAACCTAAATACCATTGTTATTGCTATCCATCTATTTGTAATCCAGCTGCCTAGATTACTAATAATATATGTGCAAATTGAAGCCTTCATTTGGTGTGAACCATGGAAGTTCCGTCATCATAATTCCTGGGAAATATTCTACATAGAAACATACAAATGCCTTATTGTTGCATAATTCCGTGTGCACTTTGGCTCTCTTTTAGTTTAGAAAAAAGTGATGAAAAAGGGAGTTTCAGGAGAGTTTCCATTTGTCTTCATTCTGTACTGTATGCTTTTGTAAAAGGTTATCAAGGCCTGTATTGTTTGTCATCTTTAGTGACTTCCGTTTAGCAAGTCTTAAAAAAACCTTTCTAT